GCATTTTAATAACAGGTTTGTTTTGCACTATCTTTAAGACCTGTGCACTGACAATTGCAAAACCTTAATACTTCGGTAGTATTACTTACTTCAATTACTTCAGTAGTAACGAATGATAATCAGGACTTGTCAGCCAGTACCACTGTAGCCTTGCAGAGACTTTGCTTTGAAGACCTTTTAATTAACTAACTTCCACATTTCAATATGCCCCTGACTTCTAAGGGGTGTTTTTATTTGTGACTACTCCCAACAGCCTAGAATTCTATCAGTACAACATCACATTTTTCTTTTCTGTTTGCAGGAAGAAGATTTGGTGTTGATAGAGGAGGCAACATCTTCAAGGCAAAACCTTAGACCTCATTCAACATCATCCAATGTTGCAATCCCCCTCAGGAGGTACACAAGCAAAAGCTAAACTGAACATTGTCAATTATCGATACCTATTTTACAAAATTTGCCTTGCATATATTTTTGTCTTTAATGTGAAGGCACTTAAAGCCCAGTGGCCGATATGCACAGGAACATTTCCAGTGTCAGAAGTAGAACTGCCATGCCAGCCTTTGTGGAGAAAGGTAATGGAAATAGTGACTCACATTAAAGCTTAAAAAACACCTAAAAAGGGTCCGTGCTCTGATTTGTATCATATCTCATGGTAACCTACCTGACTATGTTCATTACATTGGTTCAAATCAGTACATTGCAAAGGTCATAGAAAAAAATCATATGAAATGTATATATACACACACACACAAAGTTGTTTGGAAACATTAAGGTTTTTTTAATGTTTTTTTGACATAAGTCTCTTCTGCTTATCAATGCTGCATTTGTTTGATCAAATATACAGTAAAAACAGTATTATTGTGAAATATTATTACCATAACTGTTTTCTATTTGAATACATGTTAAAAATGTAATTTATTTCTGTGATGAAAGCTGAATTTTCAGCATCATTACTCCAGTCTTCAGTGTCACATGATCTTCAGAAATCATTCTAATATGCTGATTTGCTGCTCAAGAAACATGTATTATTGTCAATGTTGAAAAAACATTTTTTTTTATTCTTTGATTAATAGAAATGTATGACGTAAACTTCATAAAATTGTTTATAACAGTATAAATGTCTTTACTGTCACTAGTAAAGTATTAATTTATTTAATTTCTTTCCCAAAAAAAAAGTCTTACTGACCCGACTTTTGAATAATAGTGTATATTATTACAAAATGTTTCTATTTCAGATAAATGCTGTTTGTTTGAAC